TCGTATGGGAGCATGAGCTTCCGAAATCAGCGTCGCTAGTGAGATGCGACTGCTATTGAGATGCGACTGCTATTTGAAGAGCACAAAACTTCTTGCGCTTCTGCCCAACACCTAGTGGTTCAAGATATGCAAGCAGGATTTGGATCTTAAAATGCCCATGTGTGCAGCGCGCCGAGTGTCCTATGCCATTGGCAGGCTTGGATGTTTTTGGGAGCCTGATTGGAGTGAGGGCATACCCTACACCCTCAGTCTTCGGGCGCAGCATTCCTTGTCAGCTTCTGCGTCTGTACAGAGGTAGTCTTCGAAGAAAAAATTTGCAGGGAGGACGGACTGTTGGGTGACTTGTGCTGGTTTTGCTCTTTCAAACGACCAAAAGTCCTATTGTCAGGGGCATTGCGCCAAAAGATCCTGTTTACGTGCGGTCTTAGAGAGTAAGCGAAAAAGGTAAGACATTCGCAAGACCTTTTCGTTGAGTATTCGTTCTACTGGAAGATGAGGCACGCAGCAGACAGGTATGGTATGGGTAGTCTAAACTAAATCTCGCCCTGCGTTTCTGGCACTGTGGGTCAGCTTGCTGGCTCAGTCTTTTGCCTTGGGTAGGTTGAAAGAAACTTCACGAGCATGTAGCTAGGCCGCAGAACCCAACAACGAAGCAGGCTGCCACTTTGTTACCCTGGGCAAGCCTTACACTAACTGGTCTATCTGATGCCCCGGGCCTACTTAGTATACTATATGGGTTATAGTTAATTGGCAATATTTATACCTCCAGCCTTGTCCTTTGAAAGACCAATCTCCACCCCACCCCTGCAACGCTGGAATCTTTGAACATGGAGGCTGCTCAAAGCCTAGATCCTGGAATGGAATATTGCGCTCGCTGTGAAGCTATGTAAGTTTCAAACCCTGTCACCTTCCATGCTAAGCCCGAGAGTGCCTGAGGAAGGCCCATACCATTGAGTTGCCGCCGTTGTCCGAGGGCCTGTCGATCAGGACTCATCAGTGGCGTGTTAAAAAAACGGTCAGACGCTTGAGAAATGCGCGTGTTGAGTTTGTTGTAATGAGGCTGCCCTTTGCCTAGTGCAGGTACAGCTGTTAGGTTTTACTCTGTTAGGTTTTACTTGCCAGGCTCAACGCCAAATTCGTTGTTTGCGGTGGATTTTCGCTTGCTCCCAGCAGATGACAAAGCATTGTAGTGATGGGCCAGGGATGAGGGAGAAGGGGATGATGGGGCTATATAGCAAAGGGAAATGAACATGGAAACTACTATGATTACATAGGGGTTATGTATATAGGGAACAAGAGGGATTATATAGTGGGTTTTCCTGGCCAGGACACAGGCCTTCTGCAAGAAGCTGATCAAGAAGGACGTGGCTTGAATAGTGGCGCTTGGGGACCGTAGGGTTTAGAGAAGTGTCCCTTACCCGGCTTAGCTTCATCCTCCACAAATCCAGCAGGCGGTTGAGATACCCTAAACCTTAGTATATTAAGAGGGCTGGGATTCACACCCATACTGGAGAATCAAATGCAACATGATGTCAGAACTGGGATGTAAGGGGAATATCTGCCTGATACTACGTAATTCCCACAAAGCAGAAGGTTGCGCAAACAGCTTGTGTTGAAACGTTTTAGGTTCTGGTGTCCTGCATGCCCAGCGGAGTGAGCTACAAGGGGAACTCGGCTTCAGACTGCGGGGTCTTTGCGTTTGGTGTGCTAGCTTCTTTGAGGCTTACTGTAGCCAGTGATTATTTTCAAGCAAGGAACATTACTGTATAGTCCTGGATATGGATAGAGATTGTAAGCCCGTGTTTGTAATCGTATTTGATAAGAGGAACAGACTCTCACCTTTGTTGAACCCACCAAAAGGCACTACTCAAGGGTTTTTAAGTTGACATTTTCCATGGTATTATAGTAGTAGAATAGTAAATACCCAGTGATCTTCTCACCTGCACATAGCGTCTAATCACATTTAGGGTTTAGGGCCTTGGGGCAGGATTTTTTAGCATCCACAGAAGGACTGGTTCGAGTGTTTGATCTCCCTTGTCATCGTAGCCAACTCTGCCGCTTGCTGATGTTTGGACAGCGTTGAGGGGGGTTGTGGAATGTAGGTTTTGGGTGGTTTGGGCTGTAGGTTGAATATTGCCCCCTTGCAGCAACAGGCAGGGCCATACATAGCAATCCCACAAATATTGCCAAGCTGTTCCTGGGTTAAGGGCAGTACCCAAGGTGTAGAGTCGTTGCAGTTGGCCAACGTAGGCTGTATCTGACTAGGGGGTCTTTCCAAGGGCTCCTTCAGACATTGCTTTCAACACTTCGGGAGCTGTTGCCAGCTTGGTGCAGACATGCAGGATTTGAGTTTTAGAGGCTGGCTTCTCGCTCTAAATGCTTGTTCCCTTGTATTGCAGCTATGCCCTGCAGGTTAAGTTAGGCATTGCTATGATTTTGCTGAATGGCTGGCTGCTATGGAGCGTCGTTTGGTTCGCAGATCGGTCCTGGACAAAAAAGAAAAAAGCTAGCTTGGGCCCAGTGGCTATCGCGGGCTTACCGTTTAGGGCTTAGGATTTTTGATCATTTGCCTGAAAAAGCACGACGCGACAGGAAGCTCAGGTAGGACTGTTTTTGCAGATTTTCTTTCGTCATATGAGCTAGAGTCTAAACTCCCCAGAGAAGGGTTATATAGGGGTTGTATAGGGGAGAGCTAAAGGATTTTTAGGGGGGATAGTAGGAGTTTATTTAGACTATAGCTCAGATTGTGGTGCCCTTTGCCTTTGTATCTCTCTGTCTCTGTCCGCCTGCCTAATGATATGTCAGTCTGTCTATTTATTTACTACCCTCCCCTGAACCGACATTTTCAGTAAACACACTTCCCTGAGGAGCGTGTTTCTCAGTATGTTCTTAAGCTATTGCTACGGATCTACGATATGAACGGATTGCGGTGGAAATCACTGTAACCACTGTCACCTGCCACATGACTTGGTTCACGGTTCACAGTTCACAGCCAAGGCGTCTGACCATGGCAGGACAAGAGCATTCACGTGATCATGCAATTTTCTCGTGAGGTAAACTACTAGCTTGCTTTATCTGAACTCCGTGTTGAAAGCATATTCGAAACAATAGTTTGATGAACACGAAGGAAATCTCTGCTTCTAATTGAATAACCCATCCTGCAGAGTTCTCCAAATTCAATGTGCTCCCGATGCTGATGCGGATCCCCGATAAGAACCCTATGAAGATCCCGAACATGGCCTATATAGCTTCATTCATCATGACCTCATAATTCAATATCTCCTGATGAGGATACCCAATAGAACTGACATGAGAACCCATAACATTTTCTTAAAAACTGTCCTAGAGGTACTCATTCATCATTCCATGTACGCAGAATACAGATACTCAACAGAACTTCGGATGAGGATCCCCGACAATGTCCTCGAAGAAGTATTCTTCTTATTCCTGGTGCGCATCTCCAGTTAAGATCTTCAGCAGAGATTTTTAATGAGACCTCCGAGTAGTCTTGAAAATCAGGGTTGTGAAAGGGAAATTCATGATAAGGATTCAAATGTTATAAATCAAACCTCATGGTAAGGATCCCTAGCAAGCTGCGGCATGTGCAGAGTAAAACAGGCAAGCAAAACCCTCCATTGAAAAACGAAACACCATTTCTACTAACGTGTTAAAGAACCATCTCACAACTCAGCCAAAAGAAAATGCAAGCAACAGAATTACGTAGAACCAATGAAATCCCCAAGCCTATTCACTTAGATTCTTTCCTGATATTTGAGCTCCGTTCATTATTCATGTATCCCCCTTCGGAACCCTAACAGAGCCTGAGTACAAGTTTGACCAGATATCCTTATTAAGGATTTTAAGTCAAGATTCTCGCTAGGAGACGGCACGATATAGATATATATATATACATATATATGGGCCTTTGTTAGGCATTCCCAATTCTCAATCGGAGCTTTGCTGTTGATCTGCGGTAGGAGTATATTGAATAAGGAGATCTATGAGAACATATAGAAGATAAACTAATTTCCTTCCTGTCATGTAAAACTAGCGATTTCACAGGCTTTTAAGTTAGAGTTAGAGTGTATATCAAAGATATCAAAAATTATTCCGAAGTGATTTATTTAGCGCATGGGTTCCGTCGGTTTCAATCACAACCATGGTTCGTATTATGCTTCTATAGTGGAAATCAACTTCAAGTAAAGCAAGCGTTACCTAGTTGAGGTCAGTGTTGGATCTCGAGAAACCTTTTCCTTCAAGCCATAATCACTTGACAATAATAGTTCTTCTACATTTCCACATTTGCAGCGCCTAGCTTTCCACGTGTCCACATGTCCAGTCTCTAATTTTCTACATTCCACATGACGCTGCTCTTGAAAATCTAGAAACATAGAGGGTGCAAATCTGGAAATGTGGAAAATACATGGACATGTGGAAAGATAGAGGCTGCAAATGTGGACGTGTGGAAAGTTAGGAGCTGCAAATGTGGAAATGGGGAGAGTTAGAGGGTGGAAACGTTGAATGTGGAGCGTGGGAACATTTGTAATTCATGTAGTCAGTTTTGTTTCGGCTTCAGTGCTGAGACCCTTGAAACAAAGCCCACCCGACATGTTGCAATACCTTAAGTATAACATGATTCTGAGATTACTGTGCTACTAAGGTTCTCCCTCTTGCAGATGAGCAAGTCAAGAAGGAACTTGAAAAGCTTACCTGTAGTCTTATGTAAAAATCAAGGTTCTGGGTGGGGGTCACCATGAGGTTTAGATAAAGCGTGGGTCTCTTGAGGGGGTACCATGTATTTGCCAATGTCCGTCTAATCGTTTATCTCTCTTTGTCTCTATCTACCTATCTATTTGTTTGTCTGTCTTTTTTTTGTGCGTGCTTGTCTATATCTGGTACTCCATCTATCTGTCTGTCTGTCTGTTTGTCTGTCCATCTGTCTCTTCTGTAACAGCTCAACATGTCGCATAAACATGCACTACAATGTCTGCTCTGGTCAGGTCGTGATCGGCATTGACAGCCACCTGTCTCTTCCTTCGGGGCCAGATGGAATCAAGGCCCTTATCCATCTTCGGGCGGTCTACGGGCTGACAGGGACTTGGTCACCTGTGTGAGACCATTTCCTCGGGTTCCGGTTCGCTTGTGAGAGTGTAGGTTGAAGCAGGGCTTGTGACTGCTGATGTTTGAAGGCACGGATGCCTTGTTTTGATTGGGCGGTTCGCAGAACATCTTGCTTGCGAGAGTTTGTTTCATTAATTGGGGGGTGAGGGGCAACTTGTTGTGCTGTGTTTGCTGGGAGCCCGCAAGGTATACCAGGTCTCACTAGGCTGTAGACGCACTCTTGGACGAAGCATGGGTTTAGATGTGCTGGCAAATGATCATGATTCTTTGTTGGGCAAAGGTTAAAAGGAAATGGAACTCCAACTTTTGTCTCGGTTTTTGGTTTAAGATCCGAAAAAGGAATTTGGAAGGGCTTCTTCTCCGTCACCAGTTAAAATCTTGAACCCTGGGTCACAACATCTTGCAAGTTGCCGCGTGGCCTCTGCCAAGTGGACTGTGAAGGTCAAGCCCAGTACTCGTACTAGCACTCTATTCATTGCTACTTTCACTCTTATGACCAGTATTATGGGTTGCTGTTATCATGAAACCCTAAACCACTATAAATGCCGAGTGGGGGCATCCCTGAAAAAAGCCGTGACCTCCATGAGCATGCCTGAGCCTAGGGTTTAGGGTTTAGGGTTTCACCTTAGCTTGACGGCAGGCAGGCTTAAAATCTGAAGCCCTTTAAGTCATGAAGCCCTAGAGAGCTGAATCCAAGCTCTACTGCGACCTGAATGAAGTTTCTGAAGAAGGAGCCTATAGAATACATAGCCTGGACCCATCCCCATCGCTGGCAGGGTGTAGGGCTCCGGTGGGCTGCTCAAGCCGAGCCTCTTTTTCAAGCAGGTTTAAGATTTAGGGATTGGGGTACGGATTTGCGTATGCACCTGGTAGAGAGAGGGAGAGAGAGAGAGAGACTGGAGTTGCGGGATTAAGGTTTAGGACCGTAGGGGCTGGGATTGGGGGGGCGGGATCGAGGGTATAGGCAGGGGTGTAAGAGGGTGCTGTTTGCAGGTATAAGTTGCAGATCCGCAGGCTGCCTTTGCTACTCCTGTACTGTTTTTGCGAGCCAAACCCACGCGTCTTAGTTGTCCATTGCGAAAGAAGTGTTGCTAAGCCAGGGCCCCTCCCAACCTCACCCAAAACTCTGCCAAGGAGATATTCTTCCTGGTTATCTACACGCTGGAGCTGTCCATCCGAGCAATTGCCATGATGCTTGCCGGCACAGGAGGGATGCTCAAGCAATCCCAAACGAGGAATGCTAGGTAGGCATATCACAAGGCACTCGTGTTATCTACAAGAGTGGCTATATAGGGAATAGTATAACTTGAGAGTTTGCCTACCGAGGACAGATGTGCTGGGCGGACCTGCAGGTAGAGGGAGTCCCGATTTAATCCCCTTCCCCTTTTATTAGAACCCCTCACCCCTGCAGCATTGGATGTCAACATGGTATATCAAAGAGGGTAGGACGCATTGCAGGCCCTTTTTTATGCGAAAATGGCGCGCCTTAGCTGCTTAAACCCTAAACCCCTAAACCCCAACCCCTAAACCTTGTTTTGTACCGTGGTTGGTTTGCGTTTTGAAAAAGGAAGCTTTGTCTGCATCTGTCCAAGACTTCGCATGGCATCAAGCAGTTCTGACTCAGGGACCTATTCTGATGTTAGTGGGAGAAGATGATATGGTGGTGTACAGATGCCTCCAGGATTTGAACGCGTGGGGGCTTTTCTTGCCCAGAAGCTCCTACGTGGCATTCTTCCACAATCGGCGGACCCGAATAATATGATAATTCTTAACACTGGGAGCCCCCCCAAAGGTGGCGCTAATGTTTACGGAAACCTACAAGCCAAGGCAGTCGCAGGTCATTCGGGATGGCTGGTTCATCTTCGACGCCGCCCTGGTGGGCGTAATCATCTAATCATCTGCTGGGAGTTTCCTGATGTAGGATTTCGGGGTCCCTGTTGTTTTCGGTGCTTGGATCATCCTGGATCAATCCCAGAAACACCACTGATTTTGGGCAGTGTTGACACCATTTTATGAAGGTCAAAGCAGCATGCTTGGCACCCATTTCCAGAAGCTGCCACATGCAAGAGAGAGGAACTGGGCGCTTGATACTATACTTTCTGGTGATCAAGCGGGAGCATGCATCCCTCTGAGCATGCTTATATAGTTCACCTCTGCCCGCTATTGCAGTAACCATTATTCGCCCCGTCACCCCCCCCCCCTTTCATATAAACACCATTAAGTTTGCGGGGTTCGGGGTTGGGGCTTTGGCATAATGTCATGCATATAACAGCTACCAGGCTGCATGAGGCACCTTGCCTAGCCCAATGCTCCGCAACGAGCTAGGAGGTTGGAAGGACTCAAAAAGGCCTTGACAGGGAAATCCACCCGTCCTGGCCACCTCTCCCTCCCTCATGGTGGGCTTGCCCAGAAACCAGAAACGCCTTCTCTCTAGACCTCTGCGAAGCCCCAACCAAACCGCACAAACCTTAGCCCCCAAACCCTTGACCCTAAGCCCTCATGCTCAAAGCACTGAGAAGTCCCGGCATAAGTAGTTTCCATTTGATCTTCCATTATCCCTATACCCCAATATACTATAGTAGTTTCCATTTTCTTTTCCATTATCCCATTATTACCCCAATATTCGAGTAGTTTCCATTTTCTTTTATTCCAATATTACCCCCCAATATTATAGTAGTTTCCATTTTCTTTTCCATTATCCCAATATTACCCCTATATAATCCCTGTATATACACCATAATAATCCCAGTTTCCATTTCGTTTTCCATTTTCTTTTCCATTTGATTCTCCATTATAGTAGTTTCCATTTTCTTTTCCATTATCCCATTATATTCCCTATATGTACCCTATAATCCCTATATAACCCCTATATATTCCCCCATAATCCCTATAGTTTCCATTTTCTTTTCCATTATCCCATTATATTCCCATACAACCCCGTGCCCTGCTCAGAGCCTCTTCTGCCTCCCCGACAGGTCACCAGCGCATATGTGGAACAAGTTTTATCCTTCACCTCATTCCAGAATGAACAGCAGGCGCAATGTGGGAGCTTCTCAAAAAGGGGGGGCCCTAGGGACCCCAAGGGGTATAGAGGGATTAAAAGGGGATTATATAGGGCCCCCTTAAGGGATTATATAGGGGTTATATTGAGAAATACCCATGTTTCACAGGGTGAAATGTCCTGCGCTGAGATGTAAGGTTTGGGGTTCCGGGACCCGTGTTTTGCAAGATGCCACATGCCAAGCCAAACCCATGACACTAATCGTTGGCTAACTTATTTTAAGTAGCTCTCTCATGCTCCAGTAGGGCTGTCAGGCCACTACCATGACTGGAGACACGGTTTAGGGTTTAGGGTTTGTCCAGGTTCAGTTTTTGCGCGGGGTCCTCGTGAACAGGTGGAAAGATCGACAATATCCGTCTCACCTACTGCCGTCTAGTGTCTGTCATAGTCTCGTCCCACTAGAATCTCCAATCTTCACAAATCCTGAAATCGACCTCCCAACAATACCTGTCCAATCTGGTCTCTCTCTCTCTCTCTCTTTCTATTTATATTTTTGAAACCTTCCTTCAGGTCATTCTGGCTAACGCAACAGAAAAGTGCCACTCATGAACAGCAGGAATCCGCAGATGGAACCCATCCACAATACATCCCTTGCTCTTCCCCATTCTGATTACGGAGGGCTGTGACCACGACATTAGACTTGGGGCCTAACTTAGGGTTCAGACTTTAGGGCTTGGGGTTTAGGTCTTAGGGTTTGGGGTCCGGTCCCCTGAGCCACTAGAGAATCCCCGTGCATCCTTCAAAATCCCTGCCTTCGTAGTTCTCGCAAAGCGGCGAAACCTTCTCTAATGTTTCTGCAGAGCCTATGTTGGAGCCATTCGCGATGACACATAAACTCCCTATGGGCCACCCCAGACAATCCTGTTAGAATGCCAACATATTTCCAAAGTCTCCAAGGGTACCCGCGTTTTGAGAGATCTCCATATGTTGGAACTGCAAGAAGCAATCGCCCTGCCAGCTCCTCATCTTGCGGCTGCTTCGACTCATCCGACTGGTGCGAACCTTCCGGATGATCCTAGGCGTTGTTGTAAATCAAACCAGGTTCTGAGATTTAGGGCTCTGAGCCCGGCTCTACGTAGGGTTTAAGGCTTAGCGTTTGTAGTTTGACGTCAACGGCCAGTACTGCACCAGCTTCCTGGATTACCGGAAGTTGCAGGTGCCCTTAGGGCACATCGACGGTATATACTGGCAAAAAGAGCCGCCATAAATCATCTAGCTACGGCAAGAAAAGCGTCACACCTTCCTGCGGCCTAGGTAACACAGCTACTGGGTATTGGCATCGAATGGAGGCTCTAGAAGGTAAGATTGAGCCCAAAACAAGCTGCGCCTAATTTTGGGAAACCCTAAGCCCTATATAATACCCTATATAATCCCAGTTTTCATTTCATTTTCCATGTTCTTTTCCATTTGATTCTCCATTATAGGAAGTGCGCTTGAGGCCGTTTGAAACGTTTCTCAGTGGGAGCAAGTCTTCTTCCCCTCACTGGAAGCCCTGAACTCTGACCTTAATCCCATCTTTCAAGCCGGTGGACCGGATGCAGCTCTTTGAGCATATGAGCTATATAGTCTAAATTCCTAGTATCCCCCCTAATAAACCCTATGGTAGTCCCCTATATAATTCCCTATATAACCCCCCTTAAGGAGTTGAGACTATAGCTCATATCGGTTGGAGAGATTCTTGTGGGGAGTCTCGGGACCACAGATCCAAAGAGGGGCTGGAGATGATACAAGTGGGATTGGGGACATTAGGGTTTAGGGTTTAGGGTTTAGGGTCTAGGATTTAGGGTTTAGGTTTTAGGGTTTAGGGTTTAGCGTTTAGGGCCCTATAATGGAGAATCAAATGGAAAAGAACATGGAATATGAAATGGAAACTGGGATTATATAGGGTATTATATAGGGCTTAGGGTTTCCCAAAATTAGGGGCAGCTTGTTTTGGGGTCCCTATCATCAGGATTATAGTATTATGGGGTCTATACTGGGGTCCACTAGTTATGGAAATTATTACATATATGTCCACACATCGCAGTAACTATGGCTTCGCTGTAAACTAGATGGCGGGGACCAGAGTCTATAGCAGTGTACTGCAGTGAGATAGAGCATGCCAACTAGTGCCCGGGAGGTTTTGCAGTACATGCAACCCGCTATCCTAGATCCTAAGCCCAAAACCCTTCTCGTGCGGTTTTCAGGGGTGCCAACGAGATCGGTTCTAGTTTATGATTTCCTAAACCCTAAACCCTAAAATCATGGAGCTCAGCTGAGGATTCGGCAGATCAAGTCCATTTGGAGACTTTTGCTTCTTGGACTCTCCTACAGCTTGAATAAGGTCTTGAAGGAAGGGGAGGGTCCAGCAAAACAGGAACCCGAGAAACCCGGCATCCCTAATCAGTGTCTCGCCCCTAACTGTCCCTAGGCGATTTAGGGTTTAGGGTGTAGGGAGCTTCATAATGATTCCCACACAGCATCGCACTTGAGGTATGGCCTCCTGACCTGTGGCGAACTGCTGATCTCCACCTTTGCGCTTCTTGGGATGGTTCTGTACGCTTCTCGGACCGTCTTAGCGAGGGGGGTTGGAGGGTCTAGGATTCCGAGTCTGTATGTCTAGTGTTTCGCAGGGGAGCTAAGGGAAGGGGAATTGGATACGTTGAATACCCACTGATTTGAGCGACTCTCCTTACCAGTGACCCACAACCCCAGGAACTTCCCGTGATCAAAGGTATTTGCAGTGCTGGGGCTGGAAGTCATTGCTTCGAACGACGAGCTCCTGGTTCCTCAGAACTACTGGCCACGGTGGGGTTTTCAGAACTTCGGGGTCCCTGCCAAGACCTTGTACCCTTAATCTCTTGGCCCCTCATAGTGAGTACCCCAGGCCCCATGTGTAGAGGGCTTATGCTATGCATGTTCGGGCTTATGGGGGGACGCTGCGGTGAAGATATTAATTAGTTCGGAGTAAGGATCTAGGTCCTCGTGGGAACATTAATGATGACCCAGGGCTCTCTAAGACATTGCTCCGGATTCGAGATTCCCTACGAAGTGATCAAAAAGGGTTTTGGTGGTTTTGAGCAACTGGAGGAGCCCAAAGACAAATTTCATTTTAGCCACTACTTTCAGTTCAGCCTCATTCGCCATGGTGCCTGTAACGCTAAAAATGTCCCCAAAAGTAAAGCTACCTAGGTTCGAAGTGGTCATAAGTGTACAGCTACTTAGTTTAGTATGGAGAATGATTACTGTGGACCGCCAAACAAGCCATGTAAAACCAATCCTAGACCCTGGAAGCTCAACTCCAAAACTGGCCTTTGGTTGGCTAGGAATGAATGAAGGAACGGATCCTTATAGTAGTCCCGATATACCCCACTTTAGTAGTTTCCATTGTCTTTCCATTCCTTCATTCCCAGCTAACCAAAGGGCAGTCATTGACCCACGGTGCTAGTCGTTTAGAGCCCTAAACCCTAAAACCCTAAGCCCCTGCCAATTCGGCTCCCCCCTAAACTCTGGCTAAGAAAGACGACACCACACGCCCTATTCTCGACGAGCGGTTTAGCTCGCTGGGCGTGACGATGATGACCTTGACACAGCGCCTCTACTACACGAGCTAGAGTCTAAACGGTTTAGGGTTTAGGGTTGCTCATTTCAGGGGGATACAGAGGTTATACAGGGGTTTAGGGTTTAGGGTCTGAACTCCTTAAAGGGGGTTATATAGGGGACTACTACACGGGTTATTCTCGGGGATACAAGACTATAGGTCACATGGTCTACCTAGACCCCGGATGTCCTGCCTTGCTTGTTTAGAATGTACTCAAGAGGAAAGTAGGGCAGAATCCCAGAAAACAGCAGACACAGGGTCTGGGCACCGTCGTTTTGAAGCGCGGTGTTCAGTTTATACTTGGCGGAGTGTAGGGTAGCAGGGCTCGTGGTAAATCAACTGGTTGGTGAGGATTGCTGACAGGTATGAAGGAGAGCAGCTAACAGAAACCCAGATTTGTTTAGCTGGGATGACCTCAGGAGCGCGACATGTTCCGCCCCTTTTGCCAACAGGGGCTCGTCACGATCTTTTCCATAGCCTGGAACTTGAAGTTTCCGAAAGATTCTTCTAGAACAGGCCCACCGCAACTTTCTTTCTCGGGTTTACAGCCATCCTATACAATGGGGGTATACAAGCCCTGTGTAAGCCTCATATCCCTATATAAACCCTCTCGGTCCAGGTTTGTCACGCTGGACTCCCTTTCCAACTTGTACCTGCCGCTGATCAAAAAGACCGCCGCCGGGGGGTAAGATTCTCCTATATACATCTAGTTTGTATTTCACGTTTGCAGTTCATGTTCAGTTTCACGTCCATTTGGTGTTCCGTTTGGTTCTCCATTGTTTGTCTTTCACATCCTGCGGAATGTTCTAGTGAGCCATAGCAGCCATGGCAGCCATATCAACGCACCAGAAACTATCACAGGCACAGGGTGGCGTTTGCTGCAGTGCATCTGCTCGTCAACAGCTTCAGCTTGCTTACAAGAATGTGGCAGTCAGCGTGTCGACGGCTGCCAAGCATTGAGATCGCAGCGGCATCGTTTCCCTAGTCTTTCTTTGAGGGTTCTACCGTGAGGAGGTGCACGCAGCAAAGACGTGTGTTGTTTTTGACCATGACCGCGATACTTTCCCCTTCAAATGTTGGAATTCCTTATGCTGCGTCGTGTAGAGACTCTACCCTTGTGCGACTCCTAGAGCCTTCAAGCCCGCAGCGGATAGGCGCTTAACTTCCTGTCTTCGCAAGAGGAATGCCTGGCTCATGATCTACTTCACGGCCCTGATCACCATTGTATCTATTGCGCTCATGCACCTCGAGCTGAATTCATCCAGCTCCCCTCCCTCTGATAGTACACATTCCTGATCTTGGCTTGCCAGACTTAGGTGCATGTACGGGCTAGCTTGGCGCTGTGTTTACGGAGGCGTCCTGTTTTCGGGGTGCGACGGGATGAATCCTCTCAATCCTCTTTGGCAGCAGCGAGTCTGTCGGTGGAATGTACCTTCAAAAGGATTAAGGGGGAGAGAATGCCCCTGAGCCAATGTCTCCGGGCTTGTAAGGCTTATAAATCATAACCTCACTTTTTGGGAGATGCTTTCATATAGAACGCATTTCAAGGCTTGACATTTCCAGAAATCATTCCCTGCTTAAAAAGCAAGATGAAGTGACGTATTGCTGCAGTTAGGAGAGGCCAAGACACAAAGCCTATGAGCCAGATTCTCAAGCGTTGGCGAGACACCATGAGACCCCCAAATACTATAATCCTTATTATTGGGACCCCAAAATGCTACCCTAATATTTTGGGAAATCCCTATGTAGATCCTGCTCCTGAGAGCCACCCACACCTGTAGCAAACAAGCACAACCCGCCAGCCTCACATGGAACCTTGGGCTTAGGGCTTAGGGAATGCCATCTTGGCCTTTCTGAGAAGGGCACTAGTCTTGGGTCGAACACTGCCTCAATAAGATGGACAATGGAATGGAAATTCAAATCATCTACATAGCAGAATAAAAGCACAGGCGCCCAGCCTGTGGGAGCCCCAGCACCTTTTATGACGTCTAAGCTTGTGCATGAGGCTTATGAGGCTTAATCTCTTCCTCCTAGCATCCAAACCACCACCCCCTCATATTAGATATTCCCATTGTGGTATCTTCTTATATTGGGAATATTCAATATGAGGGGGTTGGGGGGTTGTAATCTTAGGCGCAGGGGATTACAAGGAACGGGTGTTTCTTCGCGAAAGGGTCCTCCTTGGACCTCGACAGTGGGGCCCGCAATTTCAGGATTATCCTATAATTAGGGGTACTATTTTGGGGGGTCCCCCTATCAATGGAAATCTCCATTTAAGAACTGAAGCTTCCTGGTTCCCAGGAACTTGGTCACTGCGGTGCTCGTCGAGGGCGCTCTGGAGCATGCGCGGCAGGACCCATCCATCCAAAGCTGCTTAGTTTGGCAATTCCTTCCTTCTCGATTTGACCTGGCATGGCTACTGTCATTCTTCTTGTCAAGTCTATATACTCCTGAACCGCAATTGTCTACTGGGATGCAGAAGCAGATCATAAGTGTTGAGTTGGAGCACTGTACAGATTCTTCTCCTTAACCCTCAAACCCTGAAACCCTAAAACCCTAAAACCTAAGCCCAAACCTTAAACCCTAAACCCAAACCCGAAACCCATGATAAGCCTAAATGGTAAGAGCAATGGCTTTATATGGCTGCTCGGCTTCGCGAGATTCCCTTTACGGCCAGTCATCTCCCTGCAATGTCTTGAAGCAATTGAGACGGTGTAGGATTAAGGGTTAAGGGCTTAGGATTCAGGGTTTAAAGTTCAGCATGTAGGGTGTAGGATTTAGGATTTAGCGCCCAGACGTGTTTATGGGAGTTTCCTTACATAGGGGGACTTCTTATAAACACAACGTACTATGGGCCTTATTTTAGGCGCCCAGAAGGCATCTCTAATTTCCGGAGACCACCCCCATGCGGGCCACGCGGGCAAAGGTATGAATCCAGAAGAACTGCTTAGGCATTGAGGCATTTTTTTTTCGCAGGGCAGCCAGTCTGTGCACATCACCTCATGAAGCCCACAACTTGAAACACGTGAATGCAAATCCGATGGTTTGTAAATGGCATCATCGCGCTCGAAAAAGCGACCAAAACCCAATCTACACATCCACAATCCTTGCAGTGTCCGATGAAAGGCATTTCCCAAAGGTTCCAAGCATCTATGGTAGTTTCTCAAAATAGGGGGACCCCAATATAGACCCCAATATACTGGGAAACCCCCTTATCAGGACCGGGAGCTAGAGGCCAAAGTCGGAGTGGTCACTGCCAAGCGCCTCGGATTTGGAGGTTTTTGTAAGAGAATGAATACCCCATCCACACAAGGATGTATGGGGATATGGGTGCCGCCATTGAGAACCATGGCAGCATGCTTTCAGAGGCTCCAATAGTGAATCGCCAAGTTCCACATTTAAAACAAGTGGTCCGCAAGCTGCATGGAGTATAAGTTAGGTGGACCCTTCACCCAGTAATAGTGCTATAAGGGATACTAGGGATTCTATTAGGGCCCTCTTTTATTCCTGTTATACCACTATTACAGGGTGGGGGGGTCCTCCTAATGCATGGAGTAAAAGCGGATGGTATTGTTGATCAATCAGGCTTCTACATTACTGTTTCCTGATTGGTTCTTTTTATTTTCATTTGTTTGCGTTGACCGCTGCCTCATTCCTGCTGGGCTCATGACAGTAGATCCACCTCCTGGCAGGTCATGGGATTGTATAGAGACATGGGAGTATCACATGGAGAATGAAATGGAAGCACTGGATACATATACACATATGTGTATGTTTACATGTACAGGGATTTAGGGTTTAGGGGGTAGGTACTGTATCATCTTGTCAAGGAGCATCCTGATTACAGATCATACTGTGTTTGCTTGACCTTCTTTAAAGGAATTAGCTTCCAAAGCATCTCAAACCCCATGTGCTCCCCAGCTCCAACCTCAACCCCCACCCCCAACATCCTAATTTCCCAGCGCCGTAAACGGCACCTGTCGATGAACTACAGGCAAATGCTACCTGGCATTCTGTCACTCTTCGATGCAGTGGACCAAGACGGCAGCGGGGAGATTGTGATTGAGGAGATGGAGAAGCGCCTCCTCTTACCAGAGAGGTTCATCAAGTGAATTGTGGTCCTTGTTGTCGAGACACAGATCCAGGAACGAAAAGCACAACTGTCCACTTCCTAGTAGCTTCCATTTTCTGTTCCATTATCCCCAATATAACCCCAATATAACTAGGTCTTGAGTTGCTCAGTTTTGCAAGTTCTGGGGCTTAGCATTGTTGACGCTACTGGCAGCCTTGGGCCTGCAGCCGCTGTCGCTGGTACGCGTTTGTGTTTTGTCCTGCGTTTAGCACGAAAGGCAAGCAATCTTGTGTGTATAACCCCATATATAATCCCCCATAATCCCTATAGTTTCCATTTTCTTTTCCATTATTCCCATATAACCCCTATATAACCCTAATAATATGTCAGCCAAATATACCGTCAGCGTGGGGCAGGCTAGCAGGTGAAAAGGCCGCGCATTGTCGGGACCGACAGTTGGAACGGGCACGCCTGCGAGCGATAAGCTTTTGGTGTCTACCTCTATAGGGAATGAAGCAAAGTCAGAAATTATAAGTTAGGTATGTTGCTTTCTCTGCAGGAAATAATTTCGAGCCCAGTATGGGCCTGCAGCCTTTGAGCCGGCAATTTGTCATGTGTTGGGCATTTGTTACCGCTCGCATCCACTCGTACACGCCTAACAACACCCAGAAGAATGCCTCATCTCGACCAAGTTTGACATCCAAGCTCTCATTGCAGCTTTGACTTAGCACCAACCCTTTTTCCCACACTGAAAGCTGTAAGAGTAGCAGGTACCATCTGTGGGCGTGGAAGTAAGGGAGTGTTGCGTAAATGCTTCTGAGGACACGTGTAGTCCCCCTTAAGTAGATAGAATATGGCTTTGGGTATATGTATATATCTTTTAATAAGATCCCCATATACCCCATGTTCTATCTACTTAAGGGGGACTATAAGTTTTGAGAAGAGGCCCGCGTGTTGTCCCAACACATAGCAGCCTGAAAAGCGGCGCTGCAGGTTCGAGAATAGCGGACTCCACCAGGTCCCTGGGTCATGGCTTCACCATTATATTGTGTTGTAGTATGTTGGGGGGTATGTTGGGATAATGGAAAAGATAATGGAAGCTACTACAGTGGGGTTATATCGGGTTTAGGGTATGCATTGCTGAAGTACTACATTCTCAAGCCTTTCAGTGTTTACAAGCTTTCTGTGTCATGTTCGCATGCTTTCAGTGCTAACTGAAGAACATGTTGCAGACATTGTTCATGTTGTTTGCCAAGGGTTCAACAACAGCTTACTTAAGTAAGTTACATAATTTCGATCAAGATGGCCATGTTCATGAAATTACATGAATGGCGGTTCAATTGAAAATGCATGAATGGCGGTTCAAGTCTCCTGGAACATGTAGACGCGGCTTGTATGTTCCACGCAAGATCAGGAGCTAAATCGTCTGGTTATGCAGTCGATTAGGATATTATGTCGGATTTGCAGCATATGAAACGCGCATTCCAGGAAACCCTACTCGAATTGGAGTTGAAGACTTTCAGTTTGTGATAGTAAGAACATGTGTAAAGGACGCGCCGTGTTGAAATTGCACGATGCGTTTTTAATCATCACATGTTTAAACATACTTGGGCGCTTCCATAGCTATACGATGGTCTCTACCGAGGAACCCCCCCACCCCAATACGATGCCGTCAATTTTTAGAAACCACATTTTCGTAAAGTATGTTCAATTTGAAGTATTTTGCCCCAGGACCAGTAGGCGTCGCTTGCTGGCAGTCGTGACGTGCACAGCCCAAAGCCGCAAACATCAAACCTTGGATCCGATGTGCGTCGTTTTTCTTTTTAGGCTTTACCGCAGGGAAATGAATATACTGCAAATTATGCTGTCGTAGTTTTCATGTTTCTTTCCATTATCCCGATATACTCCTCTGCCTGTAAATGTTCATTCGTTAGCGCAGCGCCCCCATATCCCAACAGCAGGGCATATTGTGCGCTTTCGGCTTTCCTTGGGTTTGCTGACTTTTGGTGCTTGCTGACTAGGGCTGGTTGGCGATGACCAGCTCATAACTGTATAAACATAAAGCCCGAGTCAAAAGTTTTTTGGAGTATACTTGCTGGCTCCTTTGCATGTTGTTCAACACTGTGAAATTCGTGAACCTAAGTCTTCCAAAGTTCCCCTTAACATGAACACTGCGTCCCTGAAGGCTTGAGGCCCCAAGCCCCCTGATGCGCGACGTGCGTTTTGAAGCCCCTTTTCTATTGACTGCTCAGCCCTACATACCCTAAACCTTGAACCCTAAACCCTAAACCAAACACCTTAGCCCCTAAACCCGAATCCCTCTTCCAGGTCCCTCCCCATTTCCTGGACAGGGCCTCTGTGGAAAGCATGACGGCTTCTGGGGCTTAGCTGGAGGGCTATATAGGGGTTGAAGAGTAGGTTATACAGTGGCTTAATAGGGAATATATAGGGGTTGTATAGGGATATGGGAAAGAAAATGGAAACTACTATGTAAGGGTTTTGGGCTTAGGGGCTTTTGGGGTTGAAGTATTGGGCTTAGGCTGACGGGCTGGCGTATGGCTTGGTGGTTGAAGGGAAGGGTGAAGCCGGGGAGCGGCTACCGCCATTTTTGTAAGGCTTGGGATTAGACAGTGCGGCCTCCGCTTGCCTTCCCGGCTCAGCACTACTTGTTTACCTACTGGTTACAGGCGTTGTGAAAAATTGAGGGGGATTTCAGGGAAGAAGTTGATAGGGTTTCAGGTTTGAAGATTTGGGTCCTCTCCCCGCCCCAATATTGCACTTGCTAGAGTATCTACACTTGTTGATGGTCCTCCTTACGGCTCTTTACAGGGTGGGGGAAGTCTCCAGTTTATTCAATGCCCAGGAGCTCTTCGACATGTTGGACGTGGACAAATCTGGGCGCATAAACAAGGATGAGTTTACTGAGGTGCGGGTCCAGGATGGCGATGTGACCAAGCTGGGATTGAAAAGGCTTCCGAAAGGTTCCAAAAGGTTGGAGAAGACAAATGCTGCAATTACGGGTCGAAGATTCCAGATAGACCCTGGCCATGAGTGTTGATCTGAACGTTTCACCATCGGGGGTGGCAGACGTAGCTTTAACGAAGAGGATTTCTGTAGCTACCATTTCCAGCACCCCCCCCCCCCCCCGCCCCCGCATACACGGCCATCCCACGGGCATGTAGAGGCTCGCGAACATGGTTCTTGTTCAAAGCTCAGATATGCGGGCTTTTCCCACAGGTTCTAGGGAAGAGCGACGGCTATGTGCAGCTGTCAGGGCTTCGTGTTTTTGTTCGAACCTGGGGGCTCACCACCTTTTAAATGCGTTGTCAGAGCACTCTCCTTAATTTTAAAGTTGCACAGGTTCTCATTTCATTTGTGGCGGGATGGTTGTTTTTTCATGTATAGGAGGTGGTCACACATCGCTAGAAACTACTGTAGAACCTCCGCTGGGCAACCGGAACTGCCGCTCTTGGCTTTCAAAGGACCTTGATATGTCTGCCCACTGCAAGGAACCGACCGCCTCAAGCTCGAAATCCAGACCATAATCCTCTTAATCAATCTCTCCACGATACATCATTCCTGGCATTTGCAAACTCAGACTTGCCAGGGAATTCTGGACATTTTCCTCCGAGATGTCCCACTGTCATCACTGCAGATGATGAAGACGCTCAGCTGCAGGTGCCTGCTTTGAAGTTGCGGATTTATCCAGTAATATTGATAATAGTAAAACTCGTAATCGTAACAATAATGACAGTACTACGAGGTATTGGGAATAGTAACAGTGAATAGTAATAGGAATGCAGTTGCTTAGGTTTTAGAATTCGAGTCGTCAAGTTTAGAGCTTTACCACGTTAGCAGTAGAGTAGCTTCAGGATGTAAAAAGGGAGGGGGACATGAGCTGTAGTCTAAAAAGGGGGATTATATAGGGACTACNNTACTAGGAGTTTAGACTACACCTCACATGTTGCTAGGGATGGGCGTAGGTCTTGTCTTCCAGCACAAAGTAGTACCCATGTTCTTTTCCATTCCCTATACCGCCTATGTGGCTGTGAATCCAAAAGATTTGGGTTTGTAGCAGGCTTGGACGGCCATTCTGCGACATGAGCTTGTAACAGAATCTCCTTGCTTGCGACAAGTACCTTTGCAACAAGGTTTTTTTGAGGGGTATACGTGTTCCAAGCATTTGCGACAATGGTATGTAAGAATAGGCGGCGGCAGAGGGATATGTAACGGAGGTGGGGGAGAGTCCCACCACAAAAGGGGCTTTTGATCCACAGCCAGTAAACCCTAAACTCCCCATAATCCCTGTTTGAGTGTGATACAACTTTTGACCTTGAGTATCTGGAGCATGAGTAAGCTGGACCCGCTGGCATGTTTTTGGAGTGGTCCTTACGCTAGCGGCCCCCTTACGAGACTGCTCAGCATGTTATGGCTCCTGTGAGGGATTCTTCGGGACTTTCAGCCTGTGGGGGCTGATCCTGAAGCATATGGTACTTTCCCTAAATAAGGGGACCCCAATATAGACCCCAATACATTATAATCCTTATTATGGGAACCCCCAAAAAAGGTACCCCTAATTTTGGGGAAACCCCAATATTAGCTTGTTCAGGTGCTTCTTGAGTTCTCAGGGTTTAGGGTTTAGGGTTTAGGGTTTAGGAGTTTCTCAAAATGCCCCCTAAGCCTACACAATCCTGGAAGTGGATAGCCGGATGCTCCTTGATAGTTTCCATTTTCATGCCATCAGATAGCCCCCATAAATCCTCTATACAAACATACCTCAAGGGACCTATACATACAGTTATATACATAGACAGATAGTTATAGGTAGTTTTTTTGTTCTTGCAAAAGCCGGGGTTCAGCGGCCGAGGATGTTGCGCATCTTACACAAGTCGACGCAAACCTTGGAGGTGCGGGGAAGTATACACGTGAGCTATAGTCTAAACTCCTTAGAGGTTGTATAGGGGATTATATAGGGGAGTACATTATAGGGGTGATTAAGAGGGATACTCGGACGTCAGACTATAGCTCATGTCAATGTAGGGTTCAGGGGTTAGGGGCATATATAGTGGGTCCTTTTGAGGAACATGGAGTGATTATGCCGAGGAACTGTTATGGCAATGAAGCCTAGCTTTGTGTCATCAAATTGTGTTGGTCGTTAGTTGGCCTTGGCCAGGGATTGCACATTTTTCCGTTACATCCTCGTGGACTGCTGGTCTTGCTGTTGCAGACACCCAGTTACCAGAAATCTAGCATTTTGATACCAACCATTGATAATGTAGCCGGGAATTATCATGAATTCCTAAGCCTGATGGTCGTACCATTGCCGCAGCTGGTTGGGTCTCAGACAGGCTTGCTTGTCAGTGAATTAGAGGCTGACCGACGTGGGTATTTGACAGGTGGATTTTGCCCGTGTTGTTCACGTGCGGGCTCAGGGGAAAGCAGGAAAGCATCCCCCTAGACACCTATTTGCTGTTGGTGCTGGTGTTACGGTGGAATTGGGCAGGGATAATGGCATCTTGGGCGGTGAGAAGTCTTTAAGCCAGCATCTAAGGTTTGTCTGAATGTTACCTCCCCCGAAGGTGTAAGGTTTTTCACAGGACAAGCAAAGGTCAGTTCTCAAAGGCTCAGCTGGAAGTCAGTCTGGCAAAACATACTGTAGGAGCTTCCGTAAGCAGGAGCCCCCAATAACTACCCCAGAGTAGCATACTCCTTGTCATGGGAACCCCCCAAAATGTTTTAGGCCCGCACAAAAGCACAGCGGGCCCCTGTAGCAGCGCTTTACGAAACACGTATGCTATCCTCACAGCTGTATTTATTAGCTGCGCATACCCTGGCTTCTGCCCCTGCCTTATGCAGAACGACCCGTTTGCAGAATTACCATCATAGGGTTTGAAGGGAGTACATGGGGAGTACCTTCCCGTCACCTTTACCCAGCATTGTTCGAAAGCCATTGAACTTAGAAGACTTGAGGAACAGTGTCCCCAAGTCTCCTCCCATAATCCTGCGGAACACACTCTTGACAAACTAATTTAACACAAAACCGCCAGGCTTCTACCTTGCCACCCGTAACGCCCCAAACCTCAAGTTCCCCAGCTTCGCGACTGGAGGTTGAGCTGGATGTCGTGAAGGGAATCATTCATGACTTTCGGCACCCGGGTCAAAACACCATTGCATTTTAGAGATCGGAGTTGGGGCAAAGAGGGCACAGCTGGAATGTAGTTTTAAGACTTTTGAATCAGTGTTTGGGGCAGGTTGAAGACGTAGTGCTTTATGGCTTACAGTTAGCTGCACAGTCAAACGTCCGCGCCTGAAGCTTGCACCCTTGCAAGCAAGACGTGGAGTAGTATCGTGTTCCTCTTTCACTCGAAAACCTTCGCGGCACCATGTCCGTAACAGTAATGTTTCAGGAGGACCGCCCGCCCTGTAATATAAGAGGACCCTAATATCCTCTCATTATCCCTTACAGTCACTATTACTGGGTGGGGGGAGCCCACCTAAGTAATGTTTGACATTGTGGGGAGCTGTGGCCTGGCCTCAACCCTGTCAGCCAAGTGCTTTCGTTTGCCTGTGTCTGTGGCAGGGTCACATGGCACATGCAGGTAGATGCCAAACAAATGGTGGGAATGGGGAGCCAAGCCATATTCTTTCTACTTAAAGGGACTATATCCACACAGAAAGGAACGGTTGAAACTTGGGTCTCCGACAAAAACGGTGCTAACAGGTGGCCATTGTCCAGCCCTCTGCTTGCTTCACAGGTATAAGGCCGTTGTATACACGCAATTTCCATTGCATGTTCCATGTTCTTTTCTGTTCGATCCTCCAGTGTTTGGGGGTCATCTACCTAAATCCTAAACAATTATGTCCGGGAGTATCATAGGGCTCATTAAGGGGGATACTAGGAGTTTAGACTATGGCTCACATAGGGATATCATCCAAGCTCCTTAAGGGGTTAGATGGGGATTATATTCAGGAGTATCATAGGGGTTATTAAGGGGGATGCTAGGAGTTTAGACCAGCTCATATGATGATGATGGGGAATTGAAAGAGCACATGCAATCTACTTGAATCCTGTTTGGTCCTTGTCAGAACTTGGGCCATAGTCTGAATGATGCACGCAGGGCAGCTATACCTACTACTGTCCAAATTCTGAGCCGTTCTTGCACAACAAATTAGAAGACCCTGAGAATTGCCCATCTATTCCAGTCAGCCCTTCTCGATGGTGACTTTTCTATCTGGTGTGGAGTTACGCGATGAATCCCGTCATGTTCAAATCCACAATAACTATAAATAATCAGGAATCGCTCCAGTCCATCCTTCATTCCCTCCTAGGCACCTCTTGTTTTTAGACACTGTTTTCGCTTGCACCTCGCTGGTTCCTCGCCGAGTGCTCGGCTGGAAAATGGGAACCAGCCCAGATGCCCGACATCTTCGTCTTCCGGGAGCCCAAAACGAGCTTGTCTGTCGAATTCGTCGAAACCGTGAAGCTTTTGATGCAAATGGGGCTATGGAGTAGCCCACGACCCAGGGTTTGTTTGAACGTATTTTTTCGGGGGCTCGCAGTATCGTCTTCAGACGTTATCACAGCAGCGTAGGTGCTGCAACACCTGGCGGCAGGGTATGTTTCGGGGTTTTGCTGGAGTTCTTGGTGAGGGCAGCTCAAGAAAATGCACATCCTCCTTATACCATGAGATGTTTTAATCCTTCTTATAGAGACTCCGAAATGGCACATTTTTAAGAACCCCGCATGATTAGGGTTTGATGCTGGAGGTTTAGGAGTATGCAAGATGGAAGCTCCTCTTCTTAAGGCTGCCTGCAAGGGCCCAGAACGTTTATGATTGCTGGCCCATCACAAAGTGATACTGGTATATCAGGACTACGCAGGGAGTCTGATTGTTGTCAGGACTCTTGGGCGGGTGGATCAGTCAAACTTTGTCATTTGGAGGCTTTCATATATGTGCTCCCTTAGAAGTTGAACCCCCCCCTAGCTTGCTATTTTCCACAACAGTAGGATCCTTCTTCGGACCTCAAGAGCTCAAGAGGCTAGACCATGGAATCTGAGAGGCCCGCACACATGTCAGGGATTTCTGGGCTGCTGTTAAGGAACTTAAATTAAGTTACCATAATGGGTATATATAGTAAATAATAGGGTTCCCCCAATATAGTAACTTAATTTAGGTTCCTTAACAGCAACCCAGATTTTTGTAAGCTCCTCATGCAGGCCCTTACAACTGTGCGGGGTCTTGCAGGAGCTGCAAACGGAGCGGGCCTTGGGAGCTCATTTGAGTGACCCCAATGTATACCCTATTATACCACTGTGGCTTCCATTTTCTTTTCCATTATCCCTAGTAATAACCCCAATGTATACCCTATTATACTATAGTAGTCTCCATTTTCTTTTCCATTATCGTGCTCTTATTTGGGACCCCCTTTTTGCTGAACAACGCCTGAGTAGTGGGTACTGCCCCGCGCAGCCAAAAGCCTTCCCGCAGCCATGCGAGCTATGGTCTTAACTCCTTAAAGGGGATTATATAGGGGATTATATAGGGGATATATTGGGATAATGGAAAAGAAAATGGAAACTACTATTTAGGGTTTAGGGTTTAGGGTCTAAACTCCTTGAAGGAGATCACGTAGGGGACTATTATAGGGGCTACTAAGGGGGATACTCGGATTTGAGAGTATAGCTCATGTATATTTCGGCCGGCAGCTTCTTACACACGCGACCAGCTCTCGATGGGCGGGCAGTACCCAGCCCGTGGAACCTTTTTAAGGGGCAGCGGCAAAACGCCGTGCCAGATCTTGTGGTGAGATTTCGTCTGAAAGTTTGCGAAAAGGCACAGCCGGGGCTTGGCGCTTGGGTGCCCGGGGCGTCAAAGTCAACATGTAAAGTGGAACTATATCAAAAGAAGCCTTGTCTAGAACCCGATTTAACATCCCAAAATGCCAAGTTACGGCACCTTTGTTTAATGCGCCTACAGGTCTTCCAGGTGCCAGCCATGAACAGGGACACGGCAACTATGTTTCCAATGCTCCCTCACTTAAATGCTCCATCTACCTATAAGGGATACTGCAAGGCCCAATCCTCTAACGCTGCTCCCTTCCCGTCATCCCTGTGCTCCTCTAAACCTTAGCCTAACCCGAACGCCCAAGCCGCAAGCTCCTAACCCGCCATACCCCCAAACGCCAAATCTCGACACCGTAAGCCTTAAATCTTACGAAGCTGTACATCCCTTCATGTCTCGTTTAAAGGGGACCTACCCAGACCCCTGGGAGGATCTAAAAAATAGATCTCCTATATAGATTATAACCCCTATATAATCCTTGTTTAATTTCCCCTATGTTTCTAGGGGATCTAATTTTTAGATCCTTTTGGGGGTCTGGGTAAGGGTACTCAACCCTAAACCCTAAACCCTAACCCCATCCTACACTCTTGGCTTCTCCTGGCTGACCTGAAGTCCTACGCCCAAAGCTCTGCGCAAGGCAGCCGCTGGTCTGACCGCTCTCTTCACTGCGCAGGGCGCCCAGGGAGTGCGCATCTCAAAAAAAGGGTACCTTAGAGATATAGGTATATGCACAGATATACTGTCATATATACATATATATAAAAGTATATGTATGTATGTATATATATATATATATGCATAGACATATACATACACAAGCAAACATATACATTACAAACATATACATATATGCATGCATGCATGCACACATCTATCTATGTGCACTTTTCGTTTGACATGTATTTGGAGTAGGAAGGGAGTTCTCCTAGAGGTCTCTACACAGGATTCTGTGGCACAGGTGTTGAGAGCTACCGGATACTACCAGATGTGGTTGAGAGCTGTAAGTTTGGGCGTTTGAGGGTTTAGGGTTTACGTGACTTTCAGGCCTACGGGAATAAGGCGTAGAGGGTTAAGGAGAGAAGGCGTAGCTGCTACTTGCAGCGTCCATGAGTTGCTTCTGCAAAAAAGGTTGCAGGAGCAAACTGTTCACAGCTGCCTTTGTTAGCTTTGGGGGTGCTTGGGAATGATGGTTCTTGAGGAGGCGGGAGCTAAACAACCTGTAGGCGCCCTCCACCCTTGTAATTCAACCCTGCCAAGAAGTAGTAGTTTTCTTGGCAGACCATGATGAAGGAAGGTATGATGGGAACTTCTTACAGACCCTACTACAACTACCATTGTCCCTTGTGGTCGCTGCGGGTGGGATCACCTAACTCACAGCCCAACCTAATCCTAACCCACACCCTTTTCGCGCGGGTGGACAGGCTACATGTGGTAAGCGGCTACAACCCCGACGACCACAGCTGTGGATGGGTGGACAAGCAGGCATCGTATGGTTGGGCAGATTTTCGACGTCATTCCAGCTACCCTGATCTCTGTTTAGTTTTCGTAGATTACCAGAAGCCGGCTGCCCCACTGGCCCTCAAGTCTGGGATTGGTTCATGATTCACAAAGGGAACCTGGGACTCATGAAAACCTCAAAACATAGTTTGTGGACGTTTAGATAAAGAGTTGGTATGTGTAAAGGATGCATGGCTGGCCGATGCACTATTGCATGTCGCGTTTAGGATTTTGAGTTTGTCGCTGGGATGTGGTACCAGCCCCAACCATAAACCGTGTGTAAGGATTTTGGGTTCCAAAAGCGCAGGTATCCTCAGGAAGCCAGACTTTAGGTTCAGCGTTCGGTCGGAAGCTTGAGTAGCCAAGATTTTTGGGGCATATTGATCCACCTTTGTGTTTGGATCTTTGCGACAACCTCAGGTGGAGGTTTGGACAAAACCCATGTGCTAAAATTGTCCTCACCCAAGTTCCGAACACCCCACCCAAAGTCTCGAAAGCAGAAGCTTACCCGAATCCCTTCAGCACAAGCAAATTTCACAGCATGCCCCGGTACAACCCCCTGCGGGAAAAGCTCATTCATCACCGGAAAGATTCAGTCCTCCGCTCTTCGAACAAGTGGATGGCGATCCTGATGAGCATTCGCATAAAACGGCAACATTTGCAACCAGCCTGCCTTGCTCAACGCCATTGTCTACGATGTGTTGGGCTGGAGAATAGTGAATGAAGTTAACCGCGCTCCTGGATTTCCGCGTTTGTTAAAGAATGTTGAAGATAAAATGCTTGCCACCCACGTGTCAAGGATGAAACAGATTTCGAAGATGACGCGGAACTTCGAAACG